TATATATATATATATATATATATCATGTCACTGTTCGTGCTATTGTTTTTGTGAACATGTTATTTTTTTTGTTGGGCATATTACTGTTTTCGTTGAGCATGTTTCTATTGTTATTGTTTCCAAATATTAATATTCAATACTATTATTTTTTGTGTTTCAATGTTATTATTTGTTTGTGTTTAAATAGTACTATTTTTTATTTTTGAATGGTACTATTTTTTATGTTTAAATATTTTTTTAATGTTACTATATATATGAGAGAGAAATAAATAATTATATTCTATATATGAATACAAATAGATATGAGAGAAAAAATTTTAATGTTAATCAAACNTTTTTAATCTGACACCTGTCGTCCCACATTACACGTGTCAAACAGCGGGAAGAACATCTTCGGCCGCAGCATTACGAAGATCGCCTCTGGAGAAAGCAGAAACCAGCATGCTGGCTGATTGTACTCTCTCTCTCTCTCTCTATCTATATATATATCACGAGTACTCATTGCTCCAAAAAGCATCAGACCATGTTTAACGCANGTTTTTAAATTTTTTTTAATTAAACATAACTAGTAGAGGTATTTTAGACAATAAAAATCAAAATAAACTTAATATTAAATAAATTATTTTAATAAATTTATCGCTAAATAAGTCTATAAAGGAGGTCGCCCTCTAAATTTTTTCTTGTTGAAAGTAGGTGGCCCGTTGGCCCATGTGGCCATACCCGGCACTATCTTATAGCGTGATAGCTTGTGGGCCAAATAAGTGATATCGTATCCTATTTTGAGGCAAGCTAGGCCTGATTAAGGCCCCTTAAAGTGTCCAATTTTCTGCTTTTTTAAGGTTTAATAAAAATATTTTTTTTACATGNCCAAAAAACTAATCCCAAAGCCGGGTTCGTTTTTTACTATTAGATGATTTATCTCCTATATATGTTATTTGAAATAGTTCGCTATATGCCTGAAAGTGTTCGTCCGATAAACGTAAACAAAAGTATATCTTAGGATTTACACTTCGTCCAGACCAAGCTCAGTCTGTTCACCATAAATGTCTTACCATGCATATTTCGGGATCAAAAAGTCATAAAAAAGTGATCTTTCTCCTAGCACCTTAGATCAACCGGAAAGGTAGTTTGTCAAGTTGCCCTAGAATATTTATATTTATTTTTTTTTTATTATATGTGTGCGCGATAATTTTCACTTAATAAACAAAAAGAGAGTTCTCCCTCTTCATGAACTTGAAATTACCTAAAAAGTCGAAAATTTCATGACAAATGAGCACCAAAAATGGCCTAAGTAGCGGTAAAGAATTGCTATACATCTATCCGATTAATTTTGAAGATCCAAAGGGACTTCCTAACACTCAAAAGAAGGGTTAGAAGGGTGCCGGAATATTTTTTCGTGTATCTCTTTCGACAGTCAAGGCAGTTTTTATGAGACAAGAGAAAAGGGAAATCATTGTGCTATGTTCTCAAATGGGATTGCATACCTTTGTCTTCAATTTTTTGTAATTATTTATACTTTCACGGAGGTCATCATTACCGACAGATGAGTCATGTCAAGAAGAGGCTCCCTATTGACCTATTTGGGAGGCAATGGTTAGTCTTCAGTCATTGGGCAGAGCACTTCCTATTTTGCGTAGGGGAGGCTCCAGCATTAAATGCTTGAGTTCTCAAGCATTAAATGCTCTTCCTTCTAGGCTTCTTGAGCATCATAGATATCACATCCTTCTTATGGATTATTAAATGTTCTTCTGAGATGGTTGCATGCCAGCAAGGGCATTCTTGTCCACTGGCACCCAATTTTGCACTTTGTGCCACGTGCTCCACTCCCTTTAGCTACTAATCTTATCCTTTCTACAATTTTGACTTCTTTGGGAAAACAAGTTCATGATCAATGGGCAACTGTAACATCAAGTGACAACAGTCGCCAATTATCCTCCCATGTCTTGAGGTCCAAAATCTGAGGTGATGTCACAGAGTATGCCTCGGGGGAGGGAAAATCGAGCTAGGGAAACATGTTGCAATATAGGAATAGAGATGTCCTCGGTGCCAACCACACATGGCAACATCACAAGCTCTTAGTGTTCTCGGTGTCGAGGACACGTGGCAACGCCTCACAAACTCCTGGCTCCTTGGATCTGGGGACACGTGTCAACATTCTAGACAATGGTGACTTCGGTGCCGAAGACACGTGTCAATCTTTGGTGGAGTCTCAAAAGTGTCCCATCAATATGTAATAACAAGAATAGGAAGATACAAATGAATCAAAAAATTCGCATTAAGAAAATAATGAAGGGTTATGTTAATGCAATAGTAAAGTTTGTCTTATTCCATCATTTTTTGAANATAAGTACCCTCTATAGCCTCAAATTGAAATTTAAATCTTTTTACCACTCGACACATGTGAATTTATATTTATTTTAAAAGGATTCTGGAATCTCATTTCACATGATCAAAGCAATCATTTCAAACAGATGTGCATTACAGCACTCAAAACCCTAATTCGGATCTATAATTTTCAGTCAAAGTTCAAAAACTCAATCATATGATTTTAAACATGCTAAAAATTCATGAATAACGTAAGACATAAATTAAAATTAAGTTTTAGGAATGCTCCATCTGATTCGGCATTGAGAAACTTTACCTGCTCGGTATTTTGATCTAAAATAGCCAAAAATTAAATATCATTATTTTTTCATGAAATTTAATAAACATACTTAATTAACCTTCTCAAAATGAATATAAAATTTAGTTTCTCAAAATCACCCAAAAATTGGGTCAAATTGGTCTTGGAGGCTAAAATAGCTATTTTACTTCTCATTTTGATCCGATCGTTGGATCAATTTGAAATTTTACTAGAACCTCCACACGGACATTACGGAAATTTTGGCACTAACTAAAGGTCGATTGGATGTCAAACGCACCCTCATGCACCGACAGGTGCATTGGTGTACCTTCTCTCTCTTCATCTTCTTCTTTTGTCTCCTTGACCAAAAACCATAAATTTCCCATTTTTTGCTTCAACTACCCCACTTCTTTCATCTATTTATCCTTCTCCAGTATACCACTCATCCTAATTTTTGAACCTAAACACTCACCACACATCACTCTAACAAACTCCACAATTTTTAAGTTTCGAATTAAGTTTAATTCATCCAAAAAAAAAAAAA